TTTGTCACATTAGGGTATGTAACTAACTGTGAGCATGCATCTGAACTTGAAAATGTAGAGATTCAGGACCAAAGAAACACGAAGTTTTTTGAGGTTTGCCATTTCAGTAATTCAGCAATTTATAGACGTTTAGAAACAGAAACGAAGAAAAATGCAAATTGTCTACAAGGTTATTATTCAGGTGGAGAGAAAAACAACAGAACAATTAGAGGAAACTACAAAGCATGCACCACCCCATTAGACGTGATTACTCAATCACTTCAGACTAACTCCTGACAGCTAACATCATGTTTGAATTATTGCTGATGATGTTATCTAGAAAGATAATGAAAGCTTAAAGATCGAAATTTCCAGGTGAAGGAACGCAACAACTCCAAAAATACCCCTTTCTACTAATATTACGGATTTTTCAATGAAGTTTCTTAATTAGCCTGTGTTCTATAGTACCTTATGCCAGAAATATTTCATGCAAGCGTTCACATCTTGATGATAACTGTTTTAGTGATGACTATTATTAGTGTAAAGTTTAGTGGCTTAGATGTTAGAACTGGGAATATCCCAGAAGAATATTGTTATCGAAGCTTAGAAAAACTTGTCTCTGTTACTTTGTTAGAAATTCATACGAAAGTAAACGAAAATAATAATTCTCAGGAATGAGATACATATGTTTTTGGATTGTTTCAATCAAAAGATCATACTCATAGATCAACTTACTTCACTGATCACTGACAATTCAACATAAATAGCGTTTTTTCCAGATGAGATTTTCCAACCAGTGTACATAATAAACGTTTTTAAAACGTAACATCTCATTCCTCGAATTCGATTATTTCAAATTTTTATAGTGTATATATGAACAGCTAACAAAGACTGTACTGTTCTTTATTTTAAGCTGAAGAGTACTGCTACTTTATTTCTTTTCATAAGATCACTTGAAGGCCATTCAGTTTAAAAACGTCACTTATGATGTACAACTCTGTTGACGACAGTTTTCATCAGACGTATCAACTTCACCTTCTGCAATTGTACACAGTGGCTGGTTGTGAGGGAATTTTGACGTTGGTAGAATTATAAGGGCTACTGACACCTTTTGATTGCTGACGCTATAGAAGGCCACTTTTTATTGCCTAATAATAGTTCAGGACCGCAGAGCGTGTGTGTTATCAGCTTCAGATAGGTCAAGGACAAATTCTGAGAAACACTGAGATAAATTTAATAGTCATAAATCCACATAAAAAACCATACTTCTAGCACTAGAAGACCAGAAAAAACATAAGCTTTTTCATTTTTTAGGCTGCATTTTCATAACCACAGATTTTCTTTGGAAAGGCAGCATCAGCATACGCCTCCATCCATGCCCTGGAAAAACCTTTCTGCTATCGCATGCAATTCAATCAGCAGTAAGATTTCATCACCGAACCGGCACTATATAGTGGCTTTCTACACTCTGACAGCAACTACTCTTCCTCTTACTGCTATCAGACAGAGATTTCTGTTGTGGTAGGACCTCAAGAGGATAAAGTTTTCTACGATTATAGCTTAGGGGGTCAGTGTAATACGCAAACCCAACTGCCACATTAAGGTAGAGGTTATCTTTCAGCTAATAGATGGCTAATAAGAGGGATCATATTCCAAAATGAATATCCTTATTCAATAAAAATTATTATTATTTCATTATTTACGAGCTGAGTCCTCTTCTTCTTAGCAAAATATCACATTTTAGGGTAGGCAACTTCGATTGAGCTTAATCTACTGAATAAACCCTGAGCCCCGTAAATCATTTGTCATATGAAAAGGAAATACGTTGTCAAATAGTGTATTTAACAAAATAAGTTAACATGCATCGGTTACATGCTGATAAAAGTTGTCAACTGAAGTGTCTGGCTAGGGAAGTAGAAACTAAGCCTTATATGTGCACTACAAATCAACTGACCAGTCACTGTCTTTTCTAGTTTCTAACCATAGTTATTGGTTTGATAGTAAACACTTTGTATACTTGAAACGGTTAGTCTCTGTAATAAATTTTAGCAGAGCAATAAGAAAATTTAGTTTATCTGATACCTATTAAGTATATGAAGCTTCAAACTCTTTCACGTACTCAGAAACAATCTGTTTTTGGATTTAATCTCCATTGGTAACTCATTTTTGAAACCAAGAGTGATTAATATAATACGTACTCTTTCCATCTATTATTTTACCTCTGAACTGACAAGTTGATCCGTCAGTGTCGATTACTTTGTGACACATTTTTACCTTGTCATAACTCATATAAATATGCATGACAAGTAGTCATAGGAACAGCTTGTACGGAATGCATTGTGCTATTTCATCATATACGTCTCAGATGAACTACATCTTTTTATTGCTTTGAAGGAAATTTGTTTATTTAGTTGATATAAATACTTTAGGTTGACTGCCTGTTCAGACATCTGATGTTGGTGTATTTTCGAGATCTCCGTGAATGCCTGAATTTTCGGGACACGCTCTACCCAACCACATCACAACCAATAGTAATTTATACTGTTTATAAATAAGTCATAGCTTTCATGTCAGAATGAGGAATTTTGATAGTCGGATTGTTGTCACTTCTTCACTGCACAGTCAGAAGTTTTACGGTTAAGACCTGTATAAAATCAGCATTCTTTACTCTTAAGTAACCTCTGATTCAGATGAAACAACTACTTATCATTCTTCTAGTTTAAGCCGGTCACGAAAACATTTCACTTGATTGCATACATCCTCATTTGAGAACTGGTGAACACTGTCAGTTAGACTGAGAAGTTCAACGAAACAGCCTAAAACAAAAGGTTAAGGTTTATTGAGAAAGTACAAGGCATAATGGTAAAAGTACTAACTCTCACAATACTGTTCCCATTTGCGAAGCATTTATCCTTCTGTAACTTAGTATGCATTGTCCTTACTCTTTAGATTTCGACCCATTATTTTATATTTTTTTAGCGCAAATGGTCACGAATCAGTTGTCATCATTTTCGATCCTTCGATATACACTACTTGGATGTACTTATAAGTATTTCACACCGTAATGTTACTATTTACCAAATAACTGTTAACTGGCAATGAGCTTCGTAATTAGATCGAACAGTAGTTCTACTAGTGCCTTTTGTGTTACGTAAATCAATAATTATAACATGTGGAGCTTAATTGAAACAAATATTCAAACATTTTAGGAGGGAAGCTTCATGAGATGAAATGCAATTAGCAGTGCGAAACTGAGGAAGCAAACACTTGAGTATACAGGCATGAAAAGGGATGAACAGTCATCAACGAAATTTTGTCTGCACACATCAGAAGGTAGGATGGAAAAAGCGTTTGTAAAGAAAGAATGTAACAGTTGCTATGTTATAATCAATAATTGAAACCTTGTAATAGACATTTAGTACGAAAGAACAACCTTAATTCGATAGAGTGAATGACCACTGGCGATCTAGTTTTACAAGACTTCAGTTAGATATGTTCTTACCCTTGTGCTAGTCATAGTCCTAATAGTCATCCTCCAGGAACTTAATGACAAAATGTCTGACTGGATGTGTGATACAGTGGTGTCGGCACTTGCAACCACTTGTTTACACATTCCACCCTCCTACACCTTTTGTCTTTTGAGCATCTGGATGGTGTCACAACCCCTTCTTCACTCAGTACTCTTTACACTTAGTTCAAAATCTAATTCATTGGAATGCACCTAGTTGTTGAGTTCAATGCGAATTCCTTAGTGAGGCTAAAGGTGAACAGACTGATGAGTTCAGGTTTAAAATACTCATTCAGGAGAACTCTGCTCACCACTTTTCCAGAATGTCAATTTCATTTTCTATAATATAAATTTGAACGCTAGTTCAGTTCTTTGTGTGCTAGTGAAACCTACTGCAATACAAATTCGTTTTTCAGCAAACACAATTAGTGTGATTCTTCTTTCCGTCCGTGTTGCGCTAGGTTTGTGTTCACTAAAGTAACCAAAATATAGTGATACACCTATATAAAAACACCTCCAATGACGAAGATGTTTACTGAAAATAATTCAGGACCACTCGTTCTTTTTTGGTTCGCAGTAACCACAAACCGGCTACAAAATGATTGTTTGAACCAGAATTTGAGTCGAAACTTTGCAACACTGCTCCAATTCAGATTTAACATTGTATTTATTGTGCGGACACAACTATTCCCTTCCATGGATCATCACTAAGAATCTGTTATAATCTACGCTGTGTTGATACCATTTGAAGAACCATTAAAAACCTCGTAATACTGAACAACTATTTCACTCGATTATGGGATTTTTCAGCAGTGAGCACCCATGACCTTCAGTTCTCATCCCTTGCACTTAACCACTGAGTAGTTAAGTTGGTATCCAGTAATCAACGTTCTCCTTTTTCCGTCAATTCAGGCAGCAGCGCAACCGTCATCCAGTGCCATCTTTGAATATTTGTCCTATCTTCCGACTTGGTTTGCTTAATAGAACTTCGAGACATCTCATCTGGTAACATGTCTATCATGAGACAGTAATTCGGTTTGCAGGTTTGCGTGGATTTGACTGACTTAATCATAGACTGATGTCTGGAGAAAAGTAGTTATCTATCCAATAAAGTTTGCCTGAGTGTTTAGTTTTTGCTTTGTTGTTTGTGTGTTCTTTGGCTATATTTGGATGCATGCGCATAACAAATCTCATTGTTCAAATGCTTAGGGTGCTTTGCATTCGCTGTTATTTCAAATTATGCCTATCGAGCAGAAGATTGGAAAGAAAACAAATAATCACAAAGCTATCTCAGCAATCATCCTTGGAATCTGTTAACCGTATTCTGAGAGTACGCACGAAACATGCATCATTGTGATTTGAACTGCTTACTTTGCAAGTACACAATTAGAATGAGACAGTATGATTCGTCCCTAAATTATCCGTAAATGGTTAAAATATTGAAATATTCCACGTGGAAATGAAACTTCACTTTCAGTCAAAGTATACACTAGTTATTTTCTGCTCCTTTTAGACTTCGAGCATTGCATGGCTGCCCAAAAATAAGATATGATTCTAAATTAGCCAGTGAAGCTCAAAAATGGGCTGAACACTTAGCTAAAGTGAACTGCTTGCAGCATAGTCAGGCAAATGGATATGGTGAAAATTTAGCCTTTCAAATGTCTAGTGCGGGTGCATCACTGGGTGGTGAGTAAAATATCTTTTTCTGTGTTTGAATGTAAAAAGCTTTCACAGTGCTGGCGCAAAAAATGATTTTCTGGTGAAATAGCTCAAGGTTAGACGATACGGCTAAATTGGGAAGTGGATAGTATCATGTTTGCCAACTTATCGGTCCACAGCGCTATCAGCTGACGAACACATTATCTGTTCAATTTTATGTAGCCGTATAATAAAGGCTTCAATGAATGGTCACGTTTAGGATGATACTAAAACCTTTAGAGTTATTTCAACACCTAATAAACTGCATAACTTTGAAAAGTGTTTTAGGCAAGTACATATATTAGCTACAGACATTCATCAACAACTGCCCACACTGACTCGTTACTGGAGCTCAGATGGCCAGAACAATAAGAATGAGCAACAATGAACTCTGTCTGTCAACGAACCAACCAGGAAGATATCACTCAACAAATATACAGTGGAAAGAAGTGGAGATGGATTGGGCATACACTGAGAATGTCGACTGGTGAATCACGCACCAGACCAGGGTGTCGAGTAGAACCCAGATGGGAATCGACGAGTTGGGCTTTGGTGTTGAGGTTGACATGGAGGAGATGGTGTGAGGAGGAAATGAGAGGTTGTGGGTTGTCGTGGAGCCAGGTTCAAAAGATGTCAGAGAAGGGAGTGTAATGGAGACGTGCTACTGAAGCCGTATGTTTCATTAGGAACCCAAGAGACAAATATTAATAGTAATAATAATAATACATATATTAGCCCATATAAAGTGGGAAACTGCACGTTCTGGCAAGATTATTTTATGTACAAAATTAAGAAATACTTTCATGCGTATATATAACACTCAGTTCCCTTAACTTGAATAACACAATAAGAACATTGCTTATAGAATAGGACGATGTTATTTTATATTCCCTAAAATTTTGGTCAGCTGCATATAACCTGAGTTATAAACAGCAGCTGGATTTGATAGACTAACGTTTTAGACCTTAAAAATAGTGCAGCAGAGATGAGCATTCACTGCAAAAACATTTGGAGCAGTCAACATTTGCAATTTAACAATTTTTGTTCCATCAACTACAAGAGAGGTTCATTGAAAAAGGTATCTATTAGAAAGTGCTAAGGTTGTGTCACCAACCAAAACTGTGAGAAGGACTTTGGTTAATTGAACACTATCCACCTAATAACGATTATCTCAATAAGTTCGCGCAAAAATAAAGCCAAGAGAAACTAATGCTCTTTCTTTTGGCTTACAAGGAAGATGCTGTAGTGACAAAACCAACAGACGAATTAAGAGTTTACTGTCCAGAATCTGACCCACTGTGAAATTGTTTTATCATATTAAACACCATTCGCGGTCACAAAATCCGAATTAGACAAACTTATGAATCTTTCTAACTCCAACTATATTTATTGATTCATTTGTTCATGCTGAAGAAAGAAAGAAGGAAGAACATACAGGTGGCTGTCTGTTTAGAATGACGAGCATGTACCAAGGAGTCTACGCCTGAGAGGTTTATTCCTAATCAACAATGAAACAGCTTGTCACGTACATGATACACAACACAAGGAAGATGCAATGGGGTAATCCACATTAGTCAACAGGGAGGAGACTTCGTGATTACTTCTAATTGCATGGGCCGTCATTATTCGACAAGCTCAACCTGAAATATGTGTTTAAATGAGACAGCCATCAATTCACCGTTTCTGTGGTAATCAATGACTTTCCGACCTTCTGCTTAAGCCAAAATGTTTGATGCCTGCATTAAATGTTTATCGTCACCTATATCCATATTGAACCTGGATTAATAGCTCACTAGTTACTAGCCGGTCCCAAGCCCGGGTAAAGAGGGAAGGTTGGGAAAAGAGCTAGCAACCCTACCCCAGAAAACCAATCCAATCGCTGAAGAAACTTCAAACCACAAACAAAATATAAAAAATTAAAAAAAAATTATTCCTCAATGGAATCGAAGAGGCGAAATGATCCCGGTTGGTGAAAGCCTTCTCAAAGACAACTGGCCGATGTGTCTTATCTCTCACAATGAAAGCGAAAGTAAACATGGAGACATGGAATGTCCGCATCGTGTTTGAACCCAGCAAGGCGATCCAGATTGCAAATGAGATGAGAAGGCATCACAGTGAAATGCTAGGAATTCGTGAAAGCAGATGAAGTGGAAGTGGACTCTCCAAACTGTCAACTGGAGAATCAATAATCTACTCCGATATTCTCACCCAGACAACAACCACGGTCACACTGAACTGTGGAATGGCTATCATGATGTCCCCAACAGCATCGAAGGCTCTCATACAATGGGAACTAATCTCCTCCCACAGGATCATGACACCAACGTTCAACTCAAAAGGAAGAAAAGTCATAGTCATGCAATCCTACTTCACGCACTAACCAATGATGCAGATGAAGAGAAAAAGGAAGAATTCTACAGACAACTGCAATCAACACTGGACAAGACAACACCCCAGTTGGTGACATCCAAATTCTACTGGGTGGGGTGAAATGAATGCCAAACTGGGAGGGGACAACACACGAAGAGAACTAGTCATTGGGTCAAGAGGTGCTTGGTGACATGAATGAGAATGGAGAACTACTTGCAGAATTCTGTGCATTCAACGATTTGGTGATTGGAGGTGAGGCACTGTGTTCAAGCACAAGGATATCCACAAAGCGAGCGACATGGATTTCACTAGACACCAGGATACACTACACTAAAAATCAGATCGACATTATCTCGATGTGAAGAAAGTGGAGACGCAACCTACTTGACACAAGATCAGATGAAGAAGAGAAGCAGATGTAGGTTCAGATTACTCTACCTCGTGCAAGAAATCTCCATAATCAAGTCCAAATCCTTCAAAGTTCAACACCCAGAACAGAACCTGAACTGAAGGACGAAACTACAAAGGAAATCTTCATGACAGTCAGCCATCAAGAAAAAATGGGAGATATCAAGGAACATACCTGAAGAAAGCTGTGTGGAAGAACATTGGAAGTCTTTGAAAGCTATGTGGGAAGAAACCTGGTTAACCGTATTGGGAAGGAAGAAAAGAAGATGAGGGAAGAACCTCGATGGATATATGGTAGTGATAGAGGAGGGAGAAGAGGATGGTGAAGCAGAAGAAAAAGTAGTGCAAGGATGCACAACGAGAAGAGGAACTGAGTACAATGTATAAAACACTTGACAAAGAAGTGAAGAAGAGTGCGTGCATGGACAAAAGACACTTTCACAACACATCGGCAAGTGAAGTAGAACAGGCTGAGGGCTGGTAGGAGAGACCTGACAACACTGTATCAAATAACCAGGTTACTATCTGGGTGGAGATCATCACAGATGAAACCAATAAAAGATGATGGAGGGAATCCAACTTCCAAAGAGGAGAAACAAAGGAAATGACTGGCAGACCACTTCAAAAGGCTCTTAAATCGACCACCACCTGCACTTCATCCAGAAATACCACCTGCAGCTCAGCCACAGAACTACAAGTGAACACAAATCCTCCAACAAAAGTGGAAGTCCTGAGCGCCGTAAGGCTACTGAAGTGCAAGAAAGCAGCAGAACTAGATGAAATCCCACCAGAAGCAATGAGAGCAGATGCAGGGGCAACAGCTGAGAGCTTGTGGGTTGTCGTGGAGCCAGGTTCAAAAGATTTCAGAGAACGGAGTGGAATAGAGACGTGCTACTGAAGCCGTATGTTTCATTAGGAACCCAAGGCATTAATAATAATAGTAATGATGTCCATATTGACTACTGTATCATTATCACTGGATACATCTTTGTGATGATGCTTCATCTCACATACTTTTATTGTTGATATTGTATTTTCAAATGGTTACATCTTTGCTCCTACTAATTATTCTTCCTTTCTTGCCCACTCCTGAACATTCCTGACCTTATCGTTTACGGCATTCACATAGTTTGACTAAGTTTGTCACTTAAACCTCATATATTCTGAGTTATTTTTTTCCAGACTAGCTGATATCTTAAGAAGCTCGAAATGGGATTGTTAGTATTTAGTTATGTTTTCCCACTGTATTCAGCTGATGAGTATCCTACGGAATAAAATAACGTCATCTCATTCTACAAAAGGAGTTTTCTCTGAGTTGCTGGAGATACGAAGGCACATATACTTATGGGTTTCAGGCACTAAAATATTACATTACTATTGAATCTTAACCTCGCCTGGTTAACTAGTTTACTAGTTACTAGCCGGTCCTAAGCCCGGGTAAAGAGGGAAGGTTGGGCATAGGGCTAGCAACCCTACCCCGTAAAACAAATCTAACCGCTAAAGAAACTTCAAAGCACAAACAAAATATAAAAAATGAAAACAAACTTATTCCCCGCTGGAATCGGAGAGGCGAAATGACGCCAGTTGGTGAAAGCCTTCGGGAAGCCAATTGGCCGATGTGTCTTCTCTCGATGAAAGCGAAAGTAAACGTGGGGACATGGAATGTCCGCACGATGTTTGAACCCAGTAAGGCAGCCCAGATTGCAAAGGAGATGAGAAGGTATAACATCGAAGTGCTTGGGATTTGCGAAAGCAGATGGAATGGGAGTGGACTCTCCAAACTGTCAACTGGAGAATCAATAATCTACTCCGGTCACCCAGACGCCAACCACGAGCACACTGAGGGAGTGGCTATCATGATGTCCTCAAGAGCATCGAAGGCTCTCATGCAGTGGGAACCAATCTCCTCCAGGATCATGACAGCAAGATTCAACTCAAAAGGAAGAAAGGTCACAATCATACAATGTTATGCACCTACAAATAATGCAGAGCAAGAGAAAAAGGAGGAATTCTACAGACAACTTCAATCAACACTGGACAAGACGTCAGTTGGCGATATCAAAATTCTAATGGGCGACATGAATGCCAAACTGGGAGGGGACAACACGGGAAGAGAACTAACCATGGGTCGAGAGGCGCTAGGTGAAATGAATGAGAATGGAGAATTGTTTGCAGAATTCTGTGCATTCAACGATTTGGTGATTGGAGGCAGTGTGTTCAGGCACAAGGATATCCACAAAGCGACATGGACTTCACCAGATGGACACACTAAAAATCAAATCGACTTTATCTCAATCTCAAGAAAATGGAGACGCAGTCTACTTAACACAAGGTCAAGAAGAGGAGCAGATGTAGGTTCAGACCACTATCTAGTGCAAGGAACCTTCCAAATCAAGTTAAAAGCCTTCAAGGAAGCTGGTGATAGACCTCAATTCAAGTACAACACTCGGAAACTGAAGGATGAAACTACAAAGGAGATCTTCAAGGCAGCCATCAAGACAAAATGGGAGACATCGAGCAACATCCCTGAAGAAACCTGTGTGGAAGAACACTGGAAGTCTTTGAAAGCTATGTGGAAAGAAACCTGCACAACAGTATTAGGAAGGAAGAAGAAAGAAGACAAGGAATGGATCTCGACGGATACCTGGAAGCTGATAGAGGAGAGGAGGATGGTGAAGCAGAAGATAAACCAGTGCAAGGATGCTCAACGACAAGAGGAACTGAGCACAATGTATAAAACACTGGACAAAGAAGTGAAGAAGAGTGCACGCAAAGACAAAAGACACTTCTACGACACACTGGCAAGTGAAGCAGAACAGGCTGCAGGTAAGAGAGACCTGACGACATTGTATCAAATAACCAGGTTGCTATCAGGGAAGAGACCAACACAGATGAAACCAATAAAAGATGAAGAAGGAAATTTAATTACAAAAGAAGAGAAACAGAGGAAACGATGGGCCGACCACTTCAAGAAGCTCTTGAATCGACCACCACCTGCACTTCGTCCAGAAATACCACCTGCAGCCGCTGAATTACAAGTGAACATAAATCCCCCAACGAAAATGGAAGTCCTGAACGCCATAAAGCTACTGAAATGCGGGAAAGCAGCAGGACCAGATGGAATACCGCCAGAAGCACTGAGAACAGATGCAGAGACAACAGCGGACATGCTCACACCACTATTGCAGAAGGTGTGGAAGGAAGAGAAGGTACCTGACGATTGGAAGAAGGGTTACCTTGTCAAACTGCCGAAGAAGGGAGACCTCAGTGCTTGCAAGAACTGGCGCGGAATCACTCTCCTGTCCACCCCAAGTAAAATATTAAGCCGCATCATCCTGGAGAGGCTTAAAGACGCACTGGATTCAAAACTACGACCGGAACAGGCAGGCTTCAGGAAGTACAAATCATGTGCAGACCAAATTGCAACGCTTCGTATCATCATAGAACAGAGCGTAGAATGGCAATCAGCTCTCTACCTCAACTTCATCGACTTTGAGAAGGCCTTTGACAGCGTCGACCGAGAAGTAATTTGGAAACTGCTTCAATACTACGGAGTACCGCAAACCTTTATCCGCCTCATTCAACAACTATATGAAGATGCCACATGCCAAGTAATCCACAATGGGAAGCTCAGTGATGCCTTTGAAGTGAAGACAGGAGTGAAACAAGGTTGCCTACTATCCCCCATGATATTCCTTATTGTGGTGGACTGGATCATGCAGCAAACAGTAGGCAGCGAGAAGAGGGGGATACACTGGACGACGGAAAAGAACCTAGAAGACTTGGATTTCGCCGATGACTTATGCCTAATGTCACATAAACTTGAAGATCTGCAGGCAAAAACTAACAAGTTGACAGAAGAGGCAGCGAAGACGGGACTTCAGGTGAATATAGAGAAGACAGAAGTGATGAAGATACCGCACCACCACCATCAACAACAACAACAAACTCCAATCACCGTCAACGGGAGAAACTTGAAGGAAGTAACCTCCTTCACTTATCTAGGAAGCACTGTTTCAACTACAGGCGGGACGGACGAGGACGTCAAAGTCAGAATCGGAAAAGCAAGACAGGCGTTCATTAGCCTGAAACCAGTGTGGAGATCTTCTGCACTCAGCATGCGGAACAAGATACGGATTTTCAACACCAACGTCAAGTCAGTGCTCTTGTATGGCTCAGAGACTTGGCGCGTCACGAAAGGCATTTCCAATAAACTACAGACATTCATCAACAACTGCTTACGCTCGCTGCTGAAGATCAGATGGCCAGAAAAAATAAGCAACAAGGAACTCTGGGAACGAACCAACCAAGAACCTATCACGCAACAAATATGCAGGAAGAAGTGGAGATGGATTGGCCATGCACTGAGAAGGCCGACTGAGGACATCACGCGTCAGGCCTCGAGTGGAATCCCCATGGGAAGCGACGAGTTGGACGTCCGAGGGTGACATGGAGGAGGTCATGCGAGGAGGAAATGAGAGCTTGTGGGCTGTCGTGGGACCAGGTTCAAAAGATCTCAGAGAACAGAGGTCACTGGAGGCGTGCTACTGAAGCCCTATGTTCCACTAGGAACCCAAGGGACTAATAAATAATATAAAAATAATAATACTATTGAATCTTGATGGGGAAGCCACTCTGTTTCTAATAGACATTTCAATGGAAAAGCATAGTTGGTCATAGGAAGTGAAGATAAAGTAGGACATTAGGCATGTTAACAAGGAGGAAATTATCTATTACGACAGAGTGACACTGAAAGAATTTCAGTATAAGCTCACCGTTTGTGGAAACGTGGATAAAGTTGGTTTTAAAACTTGCTATCGATTCTTTCTTAGACACATTTACGGTGAAATTGTCGAACTGCTCAGACTCCAATGCTGGAAGAATATTCTACACTCTTTCTGGAAACGTCACCTAAGCTTTTTTCTCTAAAACCTAGAATTATTTATTCATGTATCAAGTATTCATAGATGATAACGAGAACGATTATATAATTGACGTCTACAATTTAACAGGTCATGAAGCAACTAGAAATTGGTATGATGAAATCAATAAACACGATTTTAATGGACAGAATCAAGCTGGAACTGGTAAGTAGTAATTAAGAAAAGCTGTTTTGTTTTGTTCATAACTGTATCTTGATCTGTCTGCCAACAGATTTTTCCCCAAGATCGTAGATTTTTAGTTTCTAACATTGAATTATCAAACAGTAATCGCTGCAAAATTTTCTCCAGAATTAAAATAGGTATCGGAATTTAATAACCTAAGGATATAGGCAGCATACAACGATGTTTCACTGAGTCTTGTAAGAATTCTATCCATTATTGTCTACCAGACAGATGGTTTATATTAAAGAATAAGTAAGTTTGAGTTGATTGTTTTTAGTATTTAGAAGGCGAGTGTGGAATACAAATTAGTAAAGTGGTGAAATTAAAGAGCATGAACATCATTGCAAAGATAAAGAGACTTTAGTGTAGTAATATTCTCTCCATTTTCAATAAACAATATCTTGTAGTGGCATTAAAAATAAACTTCTTTTTATAAATATCAGTCCAAAAGGTACACATAGGTAATAATTTTGTATTTATTACCAAACATTTTAAAGACTGGATAGGGATAGTAGTAGCTAATTCAACATGGGACCGTCTGGAAACATTAATAGTATGCTCATGGAGAAATATTTGGCAACATACGAAAGGTGACATACGTTCACAAATCACTATAACTTGAAATATTTCAGATAATTTTGATTTTTTTCATCTTCGCTGGTGAACATTTTACGAGGAAATGTTCACTTCGAAAATATTTACAACTTATTCAATGACAGCAAAAATTTAATTGAGAAGGGTGGATGAAAACACAATCGTTATTTCTGATATTATTATTATAGGATTAAGAAAATGCTTCTAACATTTGATAAATGACTAAAGAGTAAAATTTTCATTTTATCAATATACTGAACAGTTAACAAAAACTGAAAGTCATTCAGATTTGATCGTTTAATATAGTCTAATAGTTCATGAAAGCTCTTCTAGAAATTATACTTCAACCTATATATTTTCTACAAAACTATTCCAACGTAATGCAGATTATAGTAACTAGCTACTATATATAACGATAAGTAACATTTGATGTAGCAGACTAAGAGGTAAAAGTTTCACCTATGGAAAACCCTTAGACATTTTTAAATTTTTTAAGTGCATAGTATTTTGTAAAATGTGTCGGTTTTGTATTATTCTCTGCAATAATAATCATCTCATCACTTATATTAGCAGTCCCAATGTAAATATAATATTTAATATATGTTTGGTTACTTATAAACGTTTTACTTGACCAACATAACCAAAATGAGTCATATAGAGTTGAATTGTAACATGTTAACGAGTTTTTACCTATCTAGGCAGCACTGTTTCAACTACAGGCAGCACAGGCACAGACGAAGATGTCAAAGCCAGACAGGATCGGGGAGATAGCAAGACAGGCATTCATTAGCCTGAGACCTGGCGTGTCACGAAAAACACTTCCAATGGACTACAGACATTCATCAACAACTACTACCTACACTGACTCGTTACTGGAGCTCAGATGGCCAGAACAATAAAAAATGAGCAACAAGGAGTTCTGTCCGTCAACGAACCAACCAGGAAGCTATCACTCAACAAATATACAGTGGGAGGAAGTGGAGATGGATTGTGCATACACTGAGAATGTCGACTGGTGACATCACGCACCAGACCAGGGTGTCGAGTGGAACCCAGATGGGAAACGACGAGTTGGGCTTTGGTGTTGATGGTGACATGGAGGAGATGGTGTGAGGAGGAAATGAGAGGTTGTGGGCTGTCGTGGCGACAGGTTCAAAAGATGTCAGAGAAGGGAGTGTAATGAAGACGTGCTACTGAAGCCATATGTTTCATTAGGAACCCAAGGGATAAATAATAATAATAGCAATGTTAATGAGTATATTCGAGGGACTAAATTATCTTCAATATGCTTGAACTAATTCTATGGAATTTCTTAGTTTATTTCATTTTTTTCTGATTAGAAACGAACAACTTTTTCATACTTAAAATAAATTTAGGCCACTTTACGCAAGTAGTTTGGAAATCATCTAAAAAAGCAGGATTTGGTGCTGCAAAATCTAAGGATGGAATGAAAATTTATGTGGTTGGGCGTTATAGACCAGCTGGAAATGTGATTGGTCATTATATCGAGAATGTACCAAAACCGAAAAAAGCTGCACCTTCAGGTAAAACTTTTAAAATCACAACTTCTGTATTGTATTTTTTAATTAATTGTAGGTGAAATCAACTCACATACTTTCACAGTTACGTATTACAAACCATGCATTTCAGGAATATTTTGTAAAACCTTTCATATTCATTTATTATTGAAATCTCTATGAACACTTAGACAAAGTTTCAATTTCCAATGTAGTAACATTTCAGTTTAACATTCTTCAGAATTCTTTATTGATACTTGTAATTTCCAGCTGTTGTTCTAAATCGAATCGACCAACAGCATAGTGAATAATCAGGCATCACCGAGGCATCCACATAGGAGCCCACATGCTAACCGAGATGTAGGAATTTCATCAAGAATAACAATAGGAAATTACTAGAACCTGGTGGCCCAGTGGATATAACCTTAACGTCTGTAATGAAGGGTACTAGGTCGGAGTCCCAGTTAAAAGAGCACCGACGAGTCCTAAATGGGACGAAACGCTGGTTCTATATCGCACTACTAACCACTATGAAACAAACTGCTATTTTTATTTTTTGTCTTAGCTCCTTAAATTAAGAGAATTATTCAGATCTAATTCATTAAATAATTCATATGGTTCTGCCTATAGTGTATGTGGTCAATTTGGTCATTCTAATTAGAGTATTATCAGCGAACAACTCACTGTAAAAATGTTTTTTCGTAGAAGATCCAAAATTTTAATTAATCATATTACTGTGACACCTATGCGGTCAAGTATTTTTGTAGAAACAATATACGGGGATAAAATACTATTAATAGCGGTTGTCTGCGTTGTAATTCAGAAACGACTGACATACGATTCACAGTTGTATTCAGGATGTTTACAACTGAATAAAGGATGCAGTTCTAATAAAATCAGTTGAGAGTCTGCGAAATGCTTAGTGAGAAAGAGCTAATGATTGTGATCATTTAAAAAAAGTTTCTAACAGTGTCAACAGTACAAATGAACCAAGCAATGACAAAAAGATATCTTAGAAACGAAGTTGTCGAGTAATATTTGTTCTTTCAGCTAGATAAAAAGCATTCTAGAAAACAAAATTTTAATGATGTAGGTGATTCGATGACCGTTCTAAAATATAGTGAGTATAAATCAGTAGATATGGGGGCACGCCCAGCTGAGGAGTCCTAAACAGGACGAAGCGCATATCATTGATTGTTTCTAGTCACTACCAAGCCAACTTCTTCATTAGATCTGCTTCTTAGTTAGCTAAGAATTGAAAATCTAATAAAAGTCCAACGACGCAGTCAAATGGAAAAATAGTTTCGAAAAAATAAGTTGCCGGGTGATTTGAACAGTTGAAAAACATTTATTATGAATGCCTTTATCTGTTTCAAGGCGTTCGGTTGGCAGTTGGAGTTAAACTCTACTTTGTTAATTCTGAGTAACTTTTAAGCGTTTATGTAAGGCTTAATGTCTTCAGTTAGCTTGGTGACAGTACCACAGTGAATTTTAATTCCCCGTAATTGTCAGCTCTTTTCGAAATTTATTTGGAGTATCCAAAAAGAAGATCCGTACTATCTCAGAGTAACTGCTCATGTAGATGTACATAAACTGGTGTACTTAATTGGAAGTGAAATGTATACGGTAAAGGTTAACTTTTGACAGTACAAGTCAACGGAGTGTTCGAAATGGAGGAATAAGCCATTTTATTCAATGTTTTCTTGACAGTGCATACATTTTTATTTTATTTGTGATCTACACAGGCTCCCCTTTTAAGCTTAGGTTGGTACAAATGCACCTTTTTCCGGTTGTAATCTCCTAACGTTGCTTACATCCCCGTCTATAAAATATTATGTTGAAGTTTTAGATGTAGTCAACTATTTTCCAGTCTATCGGCTGAACATATTCATTTATATTGTCCCTTAACTAGTTTTTATCATGCCCGTTTTATTTCTAAACTTTTTTTACAGCCGAGGAATTTAATAAGAAATTTACTAGTGAAAGAAAGTGTTCCATACTATAATTCATATTTGACGCAGGCAACCATTTTTCAGTTTCCAGTAATATCATCTTTGTAAATTTAAGATTTATTTTCTGTTCAACCGGGTCTTTTATTTGTGAAAATTTTTATTATGCTTTACATTTAAGTAAATTTCCATCATTTTACTGAATTTCTGTTAAATTTTGCTTGTTCAGAAAAAGGATTACAGAGGCGAAATAAAAATTACTTTTAATAGAAGTTTTTCATTTCTTCATTTCTGAACTTCATTCGAAGTAATTCAGTCAAGGGGATTCTATTCAATGAATGCACATTTGGAAGCTGTATAGTTGTACCAGTACTAGATTTTTTTCATTCATTGATTCCCAGGAATACAGTAATTAGGCATATTCGTGAGCGCAAAGCAGTTAAAGTAGTCAACTAACTCATTAGTTGTACAGTCGTATTTGTAATAATGAGAAAAAATTGCTTTTGCATCTATTTTATTATTACTATTGCTTGGCTCTCGGGTGTCTAATGGAACATTGGGCTTCGGTAGCATGTCACCATTTCACTATCTTCTCTGTAGTCTCCTCAGCCTGGCTCCACGACTGCTCAGAAGCATTCATTTCTTCCTCACACCATCTCCGTATCACACTCGGACGCCCAACTAGTCGTTTCCCATTTGGATTCCACTTGATGGCTTGGCCTAGAGAGTGATGTCCCAAAACGGTCTTCTCAGGGTATGTCAAGTCCAATCCATTTCCGATTTCTTCTACTTATTTGTTGGCCTATAGGTTCTTGATTGATTCCTTCATTGACATAGTTTCTTGTTGCTTATTTCTATAGTTTTGGCCATCTGATCTTCGGTATCGAGCATGAGTGGCAGCTGCTGACATACGCTTGCACTATGTTCCGTGACTGCTGCTGGTGGCTGATTCAAGAGTTCTTTGAAGTGGTCAGACCATCGTTTCCTCTGTTTCTCCTATTTGGTAAATAAGTTTCCTTCACCAACTTTCATCGGTTTCAGCTGAATTGATCTCTTCCTATATATTTGATATGACGTTGTCAGATCTCTTCTTCCTACGGCCTGTTTTGCTTCATTTGCCGATGTGTCGTAGAAGTGTCTTTTGTCCATGCATGCACTCTTCTTCGCTTCTTTGTCCACTGTTTTATATATTGTACCCACTTCCTCTTCTCGCTGTGTATCCTTGCACTACTTTTTCTTCTGCTTCACCATCCTCTCCTCCCTCCTCTATCAGCTTCCATATATCCATCGAGATTCTTCCCTCATATTCTTTTTCTTCCTTCCCAATACGGCTATGCAGGCTTTCTTCCCACATAGCTTTCAAAGACTTCCAATGTTCTTCCACACAGCTTTCTTCAGGTATGTTCTTCGATATTTCCAGTTTTGTATTATTTTATTCCGTAGGATACTCATCAGCTGAATACAGTGGGAAAACATAACTAAATACTAACAATCCCATTTCGAGCTTCTTAAGATATCAGCTAGTCTGGAAAAAAATAACTCAGAATATATGAGGTTTAAGTGACAAACTTAGTCAAACTATGTGAATGTCATAAACGATAAGGTCAGGAATGTTCAGGAGTGGGCAAGAAAGGAAGAATAATTAGTAGGAGCAAAGATGTAACCATTTGAAAATACAATATCAACAATAAAAGTATGTGAGATGAAGCATCATCACAAAGATGTATCCAGTGATAATGATACAGTAGTCAATATGGACATCATTACTATTATTATTAATGCCTTGGGTTCCTAATGAAACATACGGCTTCAGTAGCACGTCTCTATTCCACTCCGTTCTCTGAAATCTTTTGAACCTGGCTCCACGACAACCCACAAGCTCTCAGCTGTTGCCCCTGCATCTGCTGTCATTGCTTCTGGTGGGATTTCATCTAGTTCTGCTGCTTTCTTGCACTTCAGTAGCCTTACGGCGCTCAGGACTTCCACTTTTGTTGGAGGATTTGTGTTCACTTGTAGTTCTGTGGCTGAGCTGCAGGTGGTATTTCTGGATGAAGTGCAGGTGGTGGTCGATTTAAGAGCCTTTTGAAGTGGTCTGCCAGTCATTTCCTTTGTTTCTTCTCTTTGGAAGTTGGATTCCCTCCATCATCTTTTATTGGTTTCATCTGTGATGATCTCCACCCAGATAGTAACCTGGTTATTTGATACAGTGTTGTCAGGTCTCTCCTACCAGCCCTCAGCCTGTTCTACTTCACTTGCCGATGTGTTGTGAAAGTGTCTTTTGTCCATGCACGCACTCTTCTTCACTTCTTTGTCAAGTGTTTTATACATTGTACTCAGTTCCTCTTCTCGTTGTGCATCCTTGCACTACTTTTTCTTCTGCTTCACCATCCTCTTCTCCCTCCTCTATCAACTTCCATATATCCATCGAGGTTCTTCCCTCATCTTCTTCTTCCTTCCCAATACGGTTAACCAGGTTTCTTCCCACATAGCTTTCAAAGACTTCCAATGTTCTTCCACACAGCTTTCTTCAGGTATGTTCCTTGATATCTCCCATTTTTTCTTGATGGCTGACTGTCATGAAGATTTCCTTTGTAGTTTCGTCCTTCAGTTCAGGTTCTGTTCTGGGTGTTGAACTTTGAAGGATTTGGACTTGATTATGGAGATTTCTTGCACGAGGTAGAGTAATCTGAACCTACATCTGCTTCTCTTCTTCATCTGATCTTGTGTCAAGTAGGTTGCGTCTCCACTTTCTTCACATCGAGATAATGTCGATCTGATTTTTAGTGTAGTGTATCCTGGTGTCTAGTGAAATCCATGTCGCTCGCTTTGTGGATATCCTTGTGCTTGAACACAGTGCCTCACCTCCAATCACCAAATCGTTGAATGCACAGAATTCTGCAAGTAGTTCTCCATTCTCATTCATGTCACCAAGCACCTCTTGACCCAATGACTAGTTCTCTTCGTGTGTTGTCCCCTCCCAGTTTGGCATTCATTTCACCCCACCCAGTAGAATTTGGATGTCACCAACTGGGGTGTTGTCTTGTCCAGTGTTGATTGCAGTTGTCTGTAGAATTCTTCCTTCTTCTCTTGCTCTGCATTATTTGTAGGTGCGTAGCATTGTATGAATGTGTCCTTCCTTCCTTGCTTCCTTCTGAGTTGAACGTTGGTGTCATGATCCTGTGGGGGGAGATTAGTTCCCATTGTATGAGAGCCTTCGATGCTGTTGGAGACATCATGATAGCCACCTCACAGTTCAGTGTGACCGTGGTTGTTGTCTGGGTGAGAATATCGGAGTAGATTATTGATTCTCCAGTTGACAGTTTGGAGAGTCCACTTCCACTTCATCTGCTTTCACGAATTCCTAGCATTTCACTGTGATGCCTTCTCATCTCATTTGCAATCTGGATCGCCTTGCTGGGTTCAAACACGATGCGGACATTCCATGTCTCCATGTTTACTTTCGCTTTCATTGTGAGAGATAAGACACATCGGCCAGTTGTCTTTGAGAAGGCTTTCACCAACCGGGATCATTTCGCCTCTTCGATTCCATTGAGGAATAATTTTTTTTTAATTTTTTATATTTTGTTTGTGGTTTGAAGTTTCTTTAGCGGTTAGATTTGTTTTAAGGGGTAAAGTTGCTAGCCTATAGTAATTCTCCCCTCTTTATTCAGGTTGAGGACCGGTTAGTAAAGTGGTGAATCAGTTAATTTATACTGATTAATAATTAAACGATGAACGATTCACTGAGTGCTGAAGAAAACAGTGAGATATTGTTTGGTACAGAAAAATAGATTATTGCGTTCAATCAGATGAGTATGAAGTCGGAGTAATTGTAAATGGTCTCCAAATGTTTAATAATGTTTATGAAAGTAACTGAATTTCGAGACTTGTAAGGACTTTACTGAATTCAAGTTAGCATTGTCCGTGGACGTACATCAGTTGGAGTACCACTGAAATATTCGAAGAACTGGATAGCCGTTTTGTCCTAAAATGACACTTCTTTTGGCATTCGTCTACGTTTTTGCTTGACTTATACCCCAATCTGGAAGAATTAGAAAAATGTTGACCACTGAATCTCACCCCAGTGGCTCTATGATAACATGCTGGTCATAGAACTTGAAGATCTAGTATTCAGCGCCCAGTTTAGCGAGGTCATAGGTGTCCACTGCTGAGGAGTCCCATAATAGCATGAAACAATTGTTCATTGCTCTCAGATTTTCAATTGTTCTTTAAATAATGGAACAACATTTGTAATTTCTGTACTTGATTCCTATTCAGCTGATGTTGTGGACTGCAGATTGCAATTGAATACAATTAACTATATCAGAAATAAACGCACGAAAAGCATTGAACAAAGTACGACCATAATAAGTTATATTCAATACAGAATATGACTGTAATGCAGCTGTATTAGGTGCTTTCTCTGAGAACTTCTGTTTCAGTCTGTCATCATCACTTATAACGCTGCTGTCAACTGTTTCCAGGCAGAATATTTTATACTCAACACCGCTTACATTACCCAAGTGAAAATTTGGTAGACATTGGTTACATACGTCGATCATTTCCAGGTTAATGATACACGTTTTTAGGTATTCAGCATAATTTGAGTAAAAAAAGTATTTTTATTGAACTAATGAGAGAAAAATGCGGTACTTACGGCTTTTCAATTCACACGTCACTCTTGGTATGAAAATTAAAACCAGTATTACCACGGTCGGTTGATAGGTTCAACGTGAGTACAAATCGTTTTTGTATACATAAGGGGGATTTGGATTCACGGATGGCAAGAGCTTCAACACATTTAAGCACACTGCTCTGACCACTCTTATGTAGTACCTTAAAGGATGTTTTCATGTCTATCCTATGGTTAGTCTCTGATGTATGTTTAGCGATAGACGAAGATGGATGTTTGTCACCTGCACTTATCGGATCTGTTGAGGTCATTTGTTTTTGTAGCCACTTAGGTACATGTTCAACCTTCCTTAACTGCATATCAGGATTACTCCTCCATATGTATGTGTCCACACTTACATGTAAATTGTTGAACACAGTGGGATGTAATGTAATCGTTTGTATGTTGTTTTGGTTTGTGCTGTAACATGGATTATGTCTTCTCTACAGTGATGACTTTGGCTGCATAATATGTTTTGCAGATGGCCGATTTGTCTTTTCCTCACTGGAAAGATATGTGAATCACCTCTAAATAATGGTGAGATGTAGACATTTTTCTTAGCAACAGAACACTGTGTACTTTTCAATGGTACGTAACTTT